CCCAGCCCACCCCACCCCGCTTTCCCGCCTTTTTCCGGGGCGTAGGCGAAGAAGCCCTCGCACGCCGCCGCCTTCGCATCGATCCACTCGTCCAGCGGCCGGCGGCACAGCACCGTGGCGTCCGCCCAGACCCCTGGTTCCCGATCGATCCGGGGTCCGGGGGGAAATGGACACCTTGGAGTCTATTCTCCACCGAAAAAGCGACAAAAAAAAAACAACCGAAAATTGATGTTGCTCTTTGTTTGCTCCACAAAAGCCAAAGCCGTGCCTCTTCTGTACATCTGTTTGACGCCCTCGTCGTTCTGAGTGCTTGCTTGTGCTCCCCGGTCGGGCGATTCGACCCCGTTGAACCATGACCAAAAAGCAGCAGCGTTTTGGTTTCGCGTCGCTTTCCTCCCCAAGTACGCAGCTGCTCATTTGCTGGGCACACTGAAGTGGCAACCCCAAAAAGTATCCAGCAACCAGGAACTCCGGGAAGGAACCAGGAACTCCGGGATTCAAAAACTGAGGGTCTGCTTGCCCAACCCATGGAAATGTTGTTGGCCTTTTTGTGATTTGGCCGTGGCTCAAACAACTGGGATTCCAAAACTGGCACCTTGGTAGACGGAACCAAAGACTAAAATTCCCGCGGAATGGGCCCCCAGTGGCCGACAATTTTGAGCACCACACCCATTTCTTGGGCCCGACCCGCACTGCTACCCGAAGAAAAATTCACTGCTTGCCCTTTGGCTAAACCGAGCCTCAAAGGCTGAAAGGCTCAAAGGCCAAGGTCACCAAAAGAAACACCCGGAAGGGGCGAAAAATTGGAGTTGTGGTTACAGAAGATGTCAAAATTTAGAGGACATCGGCTGTTTCCCTCCCGAATTTCCTGTGCCCAAACCCTTTGAAAGCCGAAATGTGCAGCACTTCGCGTCCGAAGGCGGAAGGCTGGGCGTTCGCACCTCCGAAGCGCTCGAGCAAAAAGAGCCGCAGCACGTCCGCGGCCGCAGCCGGAGGGATCCAAGACATCCCCAACTGCGCCAAGGGATTGTTCGCCTGAAACGTGAGCCCAAGGCAGGTCTCAAGGACGGCAACAGCTCGAGATCCCGGAGCTAAACACCAGGGAGAACCCCTAACATGCATGTTGTGTTTACTTAACGACTTCGTGGTTGCATGTGTTTCTTCTTTTATTATCATTATTATTATATTATATTATGTTTGCTATTGTGGTTCTTTAAAAGTAATTTGGGATATGCCAAGACATGCTTTGAACATGATCATACTACTGATATTTCCATAGGCTACCAGCAGCTACCACAAAAGTAGCCAACAAAATCGAGATCGACGCCCCCACTTTTGCATAGCTTCTCTCTAGAACCAGGCGTTCACATCTTCAAACCCACCAGCTAAGATTCCTCCATTTGCAGTAACATACTTCCAGCAATGAACTCGATTCCCTTTGAAACCAAGAGGGTTGGAAAGAACAAAACACTCATTTCAGCAAATGGGTATGGGTCAAAATTGAACCACCAAGAGACCGCAGGTTTTAGTCCATGTTTCCACTTACCAGCGTTCCATCTTGGGCACCTATTTTTGACCCACAGCCAAATAAGCAAAAGGGGTTTGGATGGACCTTTGAGCCCAGTCCGCGCCTTGCAAATCTCCGTAAACTGCTTGCAGTAATCCCCGAGCACATCTGGCAGCGTCTGCTCATCCAGCGCGCGCACCTCCCACGTGGGGTTCCAAAGCTCGAAGGATTTCCTCGGCAAACGGAAAACGAAGGCGAAATAGGGGCGAGCCTCTCAGTAGAAAAAAAAGCCCCCTCCAGAAAATGCAGAAGGCTTTCTTGATCTCAAGTGTTCCTGATCTTAAGTTGTTCCTTTCGGATGAAAAGTGGTTTGCTCATCATATTCGTCCAAATCACTTAGTTACTTTCCTTTGGAATTTGTTCTGAAACATCCTTCGAAACCCGCTCTCGTTGAACTCCTTCCTTTGAAAAAGGGGTGTGTCTGTGTTTGAGGCTACCCTGTTCGGGTTAAAGGGAAATTAGAGGGCCACCTCCAAATGCTCAAGCTCAACAGCCGATGTTGCGACAAACCCAAAGGCCAGTTCGGTCAGACCAATCGGATCACATACGATGCGGCTCGCTTCGTCCGGTCTTCGTTCGGGCTTCGACACCTTTTCCAAACGTCCGAAAGACCGTTGCATTTTCTGAAGTCCATGAAAAAGACATGGAACATTCTTCGAGTCAGAACTAGGACAAGCACCGCCCAAGTAAAATGGCTGTGGCTCAAAAAGCCGGAATTCCATAATGGGTTGCGGGTGGAAACATGGACCAAAAAACCTGCGTCTTGGCAACCCCTGGGTCTTTCATTTTAAGAACCACACCCAAAGTGAGAACCCCTACATTTTTTCGCAACCGTCTTGGGTACACCAAATGGGGGAAAGAAACTCAAGCCATTTTCCTTTTGGGTCGCGAACGGCACGAGCTTTGGGTACGGGTACCGTTGCGGTTCAGAGGCAACGCAAAAGGAACAAAAAACAACATGTTTTTTTGTGGTGAATTAGAGGCAACAGCAAATCAGAAGGGAAAACCCGGATTTGTCGGAACTCAAAAGTGCGACGCCCAGTGTTCCTCCCTTCCAAAAGGTGGCCGGGGTTCCTGCGGAACCAAACACCACCACGGCTCGCGGTGAAAAAACCTGCGGCATTGCCCGTCGTTTCGCGAACCGCGTTTCGACATTTCGCGAACCGCCGCGAACCGACACTTCCTCATTCTTGATATGGGAGCCGAAAAACGACATCCTTTTGCAGCCTCACCACAAATATGGTTGTGGGTCAAAAGCCCGTACCTCCAGTGAACATCCCAATCCCCACTAAAATAGGTTCTAAAATGGGTGGTGCACCGAAAACCCCCAACATGGGATCCCAAAACGGTTTTGCCCTACAGCCAAATGAACAGAACCAAACAATTAAACGTCGGTAAAACAACACCTGCCAAGAACAGCGACACGAACCCGTCTCGAAGCTCCAAGGCAAGAGACGAGAGGTTTTTTTTCCCACCAAAATGCTGGGCTCACTTCGTTTTGATTTGACTCCCCCCCAAAGTGCAGGGTGTCCAATCTATTTCCGTTTGGGTTGGTTTAGGCATCACCTCTTGCAGCATTTCAAATGAGCTTTGTTTTGAACAAATACTTCTCACAAATCGATTTTCCGATTCCAACCCGACTGCGCATCGGGAATCGAGTCACGACGCGACATTTTCACTTCCCAGACGCTCCCGATTCACTTTGGGCCCTCAAACCGCCAGGTTTTGAGAACCCAACACTTGTTTGGTGGGTCTTCCATTGGACGCCGCTTCGCCAGGAGCGTCACTTGCGACGAGGCGCCGGCAGTTGCGGCACACGTAGGGCGCCCGGTCCCAGCCCTGGAACCAGAGCATCCAAACGATCCGCGGGATCCGCTCATCGCTCGCGCCCATGGCCCGAATTTCGCTCGAAACGAGCTCACCGGATCGGTCCCGGGGCACCTTTGGGTGGCGGATCGGCTTGGGCTTGCCCGTTTTTTCAGGCTCGTCAAAAGGCGCAATTTCTCCATGGGATGACCCATCGCCCTTCGTTCGAAAACCGAAATGTGGATGTGTCCCACAAGATTGATCAAGCCCCATGTGGACAAAGCGAAACAAGGAAGCAGGATTGGCCCTCAGGGTGTCCGAGCCATCTCCCCTTTTTGGAACCTGCGCAAAAGGCAGTTTGGACACCACCAGTAAATTGATCAACTTATGAGGGGGGAATCCAGCGACCCCTGTGTAATCAGTGAGTGCCCTTGTTGTTTGATTGGAAGATTGAGCTGGGCCCATGAAGCTCTAGCTGGAAGTCCTATGTACCGTTTAGACATGGTGACACCGGGTCGGGTCAAGTCTGGTGCCGTGCATTCCAAGTGGTGAAGCAGCGGCGGGGACTGCTGGCCGTTCCTCGCTTTTCAGAGGCCCTTCGAAAGCCCGACTTGTTGGGGTTACCCCTTTGGCCGGGCTAAGACAATGAAATGACGCCTGCAACCGAAGATGATCCCCGCTTCAAATGGGCGGCGATTCAAGCGCCCGGAAGAGCGCTTGAGCCGCTTGAGACAAGACACGGCCGAGAGATGCTCGATGTGACAGAAACTGCTTTGGGGGTTTAACCTTAGTTGATCTTAGGTGGGCACCCTTTGGTGGATCATATCAACTTCTGATCAACCTGGAGCTCCTCCCCGTGAATCTGACATTCACTAGCACTTTGGGAATGTCCTGCCGAGCGGATGGGCCCTTGAAATTTGAAGCCAGCTCTCACGCTGGCCACCGGCCTCCGAGCTGTTTGGCCCTTGGCCCCCCGAAAACGGAGTTGATACACCAAGCGTGTCGGAGTCGAACTCAGAACCCGCGGGCGAAAACCATTTGGATGAGTCTTCCCCCAGTTTGGAGCTGCTGGCTAGTGCCCCCGAAAGGCCATGATCTGCCGATGGCTCCGGATCGATGGCAAACATCTGGAGCCATGACCATAGCCGATTGCTCCCTATGGCTTCACACTTGCCAATTTTTACACCACGGAGATCCTATCCACTTCTGCTCCCGCAAATGGATCTGGGCACTTTGTGCGATGTTCGGTTGCTCTACTTTCAACCCGCGTCCGAGCTCCATGGGCCTCAAGGCAAACGGTTCGATCAAAGTGTTTTTCAAACAGCACCGTAGGCTAAAGGACATTTCTGGTAGATTCCCCATGGCCTGTGGTTGGGTTGGTTTACTTGGAATATTTACTAGGTCCTCCAGATTTGAGAGGTCAGAATAAGGGTACCAACTTTTTACTTTTTTGTCTATTTTAGGGGAACCCTCCCAACCAAAACCTCCCAAAAACGGGGTGAGAAAGGACACCTAGCTGGGGGACCCTAGTTGGTTTACTTGGAATATTTCGGGCATCCACCGAAAGGCCTTTCTTGCGCCGAAATTTGGCCGTCGACGTCACGACGTCGACGTCTGAGGCCCACGCCAAGGTGAGAAGCATGGCCAGCACCACCGCCATGAAACCCCTGCCCCGGAGAGGTGCTCAATAAATAACTGGTCAAACCATCCTGGGTATAGGGACTGACAACTAGTGGAAGTAGGTTATATTAATCTACTTAGGGATTTAGAGCCGTGCAAGTAGGTTATAACCATGATTGCCACCCAGCTCTAAGTATCTTGCCCTTTACACCCCCTGAGAACGGCTGTGCTGGAATACACCACGGCGAACAAATCGTTACACGCTACCCATTTGCCACCACCCCGCGAAAGCCAGTAGAGCCCTGAAACGTCAGAAGGAAGTGGACAGAACCAACTCTCCAAATGATGGCGAAGAAACTGCTCTACTCCGTCCCCTTTTGGTAGATCAGGTTTGACAGAACCAACATCTACCTGCACAAGTTCACTGCTGCACATCTGCTCTCCATTTTCTTGCCAGCCCGGTGGAAGTTCTTTGTGAGTCATGGTGCCCTGGGAACTCTCGTCTCCAAACCCTGGAACCCCAAAAGGAATCAAGATGAAACCGCTGGCAATTGGCGGACTAAACATGCTCTCCAAACCGATCCCAGATCGGTTTCGACAAGTGAAGAACTTGTAGAAACCATGGAAATCCAACCACTAAACCAACTTAGAAAAAGAAAATCAGAACACTTAGGGGGAGAAAAAAAGGAACAAACACAAGGGGGCAAAAAACACACAAACAAATCACTTCGAACAAGCCCAAGCAGCCGGACCATTCGCCGGAGGATCCGCCGATTCGCATCGAGTCCCCGAAGTGACTGAGGCTGAAGCCATTCCGCGGACGCGAGGTACTCCAGAGATGTGAGACCTGCGCTTGAGGTCACCCCAAAAAGCGAAGGGGGGGGGGGGTTACCTTGCCCAAGTTGGAGGATTGCCCCGAAGTTGGAGGATTGAAGGTTTTACCCCAAACTTTGAGGATTGAAGGCTGCTGCAGCCCCAAAGTTTGAGGATTACAGGTTGCAGCCCCCAAAGTTTGACCAAAATCAGCCCTTTCGAGAGGGTCACGAGATCTGAAGGCATGTGTGCACGCTTGCCCCTTTAGGCTCAATGGAGCAACCACTGCATAATGAACCGCTTCTGAAGCAAACACCTTGCCAACATACCTTCCCTGCATGGACACGCCTATGTCCAACGCGCATGGGACGCCTTTCTGTGTTGCGCCTTGCGGGTGCCATGGATGCCTAAAATGACTCACCCACAAGGAGGATGTACCATACCTCCCCTGATTCGTGAACCTGGTGTTGCTTTACCTACCCTCAAGGAGGCATATTTGCCATACATAGGTTTCCCCTCATAAAACAATAGACCCCCCGCTGCGAAGGTCGACAAGGTTCTGGAGACCATCTGCGGACAGCTCGTTCACGAAAAACCAATGGTTTCAAACCTGGTCGAAGTATGAAGAGTTCCACCTACTTCTCTGCAGCTCTTTCCATGGGAGTCTGCCCAAGGGAGCCACTCTTTCCCAAAAAGGACAACGGCTGGTTACCTGCCATGGCCGGCCTTGCAGGCAAAGAAAGGGGTCGTCCCAAAAAGGGGGTTCCCAAAATGAACCCAGTGATTCAACTTACCTGGTAAAGGCAGGCAACCAAGGGAACCACCCTTTAACAACCAAATGGAAAATGGCGGCATACCGGTGGCAACTGCGATCCACAGGGAAAGCTACCCCAAGAAAGGAACCCGGAAAAACGGCAAACCCAAGTGTCAACACGGAGCGCCGCCGGGTTGTCCGTTGTCTCGTGATGAAACCTAAGCGGATCGTTTTCTGTTGGCTTCCCTTTAACCCCAAAAGGGGGCGGGACCCCCTGAAAGAAAAATACGCGCACGGAGAAGAAGTCGTTGGGTTGTGGTGAGGGGGGGCTGGTTGCAGTCGCTTCGCCGCCATGAAGGGCGAATCCGCGAAGGTCCGTGCCTCGTTGTGGCCATTCAAAATGTGCCTCAGAGTCTCTCTCCCAAGCATTGTCCCATTGCAAAAGGGGGTGTCCCTCAAAAGGACAAACACAAACGCCCATGTTGTTTCTGGGCAAATTACTATGAGTCACAAGCTGAGATGAGGAATAATTACCCAAGTAAAGGCCCTTCATCATGAGTTTGCGCTTGTTCTGCAACAGATGAGCTTGCAATATTTTGACCGGACAGCATTCGGGGCAAACCTTAAGCTTTTGAGCATACGCGGCGTAGCACCCTGCCACAGACGCATACATGCAGACTAAAACACAAAGACACAGAAACAGACAAACTTACAAACACACACACACACAAACACAAACACAAGCACAAGCACAAACACAAACACTAACGGCGCACATGTAATTACTCCTATTCCCAATTTGCTTCCATGTTTCTTAGTGACAGCAAAGCGTCACTTTGCCTCGTCAACGTTCGCTACCTCCTCCGCAGGTGTTTCGACATGGATGGGTCCCGAATTTGCGAAACACCCAGGGGTCAAACTCAAAAACAAATTGGTTCCCGGCACCACTAAACCAAGACAACAAATAAAAGTCCAGAAGTTCCCGGAACCCCCGTGGCCATGGGACAAACAAGAATCCACACTGATTGTTTGGTAGTGGCAAAAGGAACCTCCTCCAAACCAAAGGACGTCTACGGATTTGCGCCCACTGGACATCGGTCAAAACGGATTCTGTTTAGAAAATCATCAAAAAGGTTCTGTTCAGGTTGAACTTCAGATCCAAAAGGCCCCCCCAACGGCGTCTTTTTGTTGCCGCAGCACGGGGTTGGGTTGGGAGTTTGCTGGCAGTTGCGGCCATCTCTTTCCTCGGGTCCTTCAGAAAGCGCATAGCATATATATATATATATGTATATATATATATATATATATGTATATATATATATATATTTATTATATTATATATATATAGAGATTTGTTGATCTACTTGCTTATCTAGCTTGGTTTATTGTATTTGTTTATCTGCTTATTTCTTTGTTGACTTATTTGTGTGTTTGTTTATTCACTTAGTTTGGTTTACTCGTATATAACCCACTTCAAAAAACCCAACCCAACGCCGGTTTTCCCCAAAAAAACCCCTTGCCACCCACAAAAACCCGTGCTTTCGAGCGCCCAGTCTCAGAGTCTCGTCTCTCGCTCTACCAATCCGCCCATCCCTGGGCCCCGTGGGCCCCGGGCGGCGGACGTGGCGTGGGGCCCGAACTTCCGGGCGCCCAGCAGGTGCCCGAAGGCCTTTGAGACGGCTTGGGTTCTGCTTCAGCGGTTTCCTCTCGATCGGGGTTGGGCGTTTTTCAGGATTTGGGGGGGTTACCAAAATGGGATTGGCGAGCTGTTCTTGTCGGCTTCCCCCCCCCAAAAAAAAACACGAAAAACGATCCAGGTGTGTCGCTTTTTTAGGAGTCGGACGCGAAGAAAAGCTGGGCGGCTGTCCTCTTCGCTTCCCTTCCCCAGATCCGGTTTCAGGGGACTCCCCGAGTCGAAAAAATTGGGCTGCCGAAAAAAATCTGCCATGCGTCTCTCGTGTGGGGGGGGGGCCTTCGTGTTTTCTTTGGGGCGTGCTTCAAAGTTGAAACCTTGCCGGCTGTCAGGTGTAGGTTGAATTTCTAAGTCGCGAACGCTCGTTTTTGGTTTCAGAATGGTGACCGAATCATAGCCAGTATAAGCCCAAGTAGCAGACACTTGTATATGACCCAGCTGCAATGTAACCAAGTAACCAGCCAGTTGCGTTTCACCAGTAGTTTGCTCCAAAGTTGCAAGTAAAACTAAATTAAAAGCCACTTTGCAACTTTGGACCAGGGAGCCACCTCTTTACTAAAAGGAGGCTGAGACATGTCACCCATAAAGTCAGACCAGAGGAATCAATTCGCAGGATCGAGTCCGGGCGAAACTCAGGTTGGGGCGGGCCGGGCCCAACGAGAAGCCCTCGAAATGTAGCCTTTTTCCCCACAAACAGTAGAAGTTTCGTGGAAGCTCACTTTCCTCTTCAAGGGACCCTTTAAGGGGGGAGAACGGTGGGCCGGTAGCCACCCAGTTTCCAACTCGCCGCCCTTCGTTTTTCGTGTCTCGAGCCACTGGGGGAGCTTGAGACCTGGAGTCCGCAAGTGCACGGTGCCATGTTGGTACCAGGCTGCGCGCTTGTTTGTAGGGGTGAACAATAAGTCCATATACATTGACTCATGTATCTGCGCCATCGCGCCTCATTCTGATCTCCAGAATTGAGGTTGTCGGGGGACGGGCAAGACAAGCCACCCATCTTGCCACCCATCTTGCAACCATCCATCCAGCATCCATCCATCCAAACCAAAACACAAATAATCACCAACTCAAACATGCCGAACCAAACCACATCAACTCAAACCAATTAAAACCAAACCCAACCAACCCAACCCAAACCGACACCAACGCCAACCCAAGGGTCCCTTGCGACGAGCCCCCGGCCTCCATGTGGGAGGTGTCCCAAATCGGCCACCTGGCGGGTTGCTTTGGTGTGCCTCCCGTGAAGGGAAACGAGGGCGCTCATTGGTTGGTGACGGATGGTATGAAAGGGAAACCCCAGGTGAGTCACTTGCTCAAAACCCTTTGTACTAAAATGGTCGTAATCCCAGAACCATGCAAATCAAGACTTTTCAGAAGGCGGAGATCCGCAGCTATTTATGGCAAGGGGCTCGTCCCTTACTAACCTAACCATCTACCCGAATCGGTTTTGAGCACGTGGCTCAGGAGGACTGAAGCTTGTGACCCCAACATCAGCGACTGTCACCAACTTCAAAAAACAGCAATCAACGTCATTTGGCTGCGGTTGTCAAAAATGCGTACCCGAAATGGGTTACCCCGGTAAATGGAAACATGGAACCTGAAACCTGCGGTCCAATTCCTGGTGGTTTAATTTTGACCCGTACCCATTTTGATGGGTCAAAATGAAACCACCGGTTTTAGTCCACGTTTCCACTTACCAGGGTTCCACTTTGGGTACCTATTTCTGACCCACTGCCATTTGAGAGAAAACCTGCTGAAACAGCTCCAATCAGGGCGCTCCGGCCTGTCGCGGTGACCCCCCCGCGCTAAGGCCGGGCCATGGGGTCTGGCGCAACCAGGGATCGGCAACCAGGGGCCAACCACTGGTTCCTGTATCAAGGGGACTTTTGGACGCGGGGTTGGAAGTTAGGGGGTTGGAAAAAATGGAAAAACAAGAGTTGTAGGGGGTTGGAAGTTAGTTGGGTTCTTTGTATGGGACACTGCGCAGACTCCCTGCAAACCACTGCGGGGGAGCCATTGCTACCCCCCTAAGGTGACTTTCCTTTCGGCCTTTCGGTTTCCCCTCAAATCAAGGTGAAAACGATACCGAGCCTCAAAGAAACCACCCCAATGGATTGTCTACTTTGGGTCCTTAAACGTATCACCCAAACCAGCACCCAATTGCTTTTTCAACCATGCAACCAAACTCCCCTTGGTACGGCTTCTCCCAAAAGCAGCAGTTGCTCTGGACCCGGGTGCCGGAAAGGCTCCCTCCACATTTGCTTTGCGACAACGGGAGGGTCCCTTTTTGAGGCACAACGAAACGAGTCCCATCCGATCCGCTTCCCATCCCAGTCGCCTCTGCGGCACGGCCCGCCTGGCAATCATTTCGTGTTTTGCTTTTGTTCGCGTTTCCGTTCCGTTGGGACTGCTAAGGGCCCAGATCCGTTTCGGGTTTTCTCACCCAGCTCAAAGGCAAAACAGTTTAGGTCACCAGTGGTCATTTCTTGCCAGATCGCAGTTACCTAAATGGTAGGCCGCCAGTCGTCTTCCTCCTGGTGTTTGGAGGGTTGGTTAGTTTCACGGGGACATGGAGTTGCACAGGCCTTCCAGTTATCAAAGAAAGGTCACCAAGGTTTCTCACCAGACTTGTGTAATAAATTATCCTCGGGCTGCCTGGTAAGGAGCAAGTCCACAGAGAAAGAAACAAAGAAACAAACAAACAAACAAACAAACAAAGAAAGAAAGAAAGAAAGAAAGAAAGAAAGAAAGACAGACAGAAAGAAAGCAGAGAAAGAAGGAAAGAAAAAAAGAAAGAAACAAGAAATAAAGAAATAAAGAAAGAAAGAAAGAAAGAAAGAAATAAAGAAAGAAAGAAAGAAAGAAAGTAAGAAAGTAAGAAAGAAAGAAAAGAAAGAATCAAAGAAAGAAAGAAAGATAAAAATAAAGAAAGAGGGGAACGAACAAACAAACAAACAAACGAACAAACGAACAAACAAAAGCCAAAAAAAAAACATAATTCAGAAAAGAAAGCAAGAAAAGGAACACCAACAGACTTAACAAATAGACAAGCAAACCAACCAGGAAAGGAACCGGCACATGCCGCAAAAGAAACGACACCGATGTCCAGCGCTTCGCCCCCCCTCCCCCGGCCGGAGCCGTAGCAGCGTCTCCGCTTCCGGCGACTCGGCCTGGCAGCTCGGGCGACGACTCGGCGACTTCCGATCGATTCGCCCAGAGGTCGAAGCTTTTTCTCTGCTTTCCCATCCGATCAAACATGAACCACCAATGGGCCAATTCACAAAAGCTAACCAAGTAACTAACCATCACTGGGTTGCGAAATCTGCTCCCCGAAAAGTGTTTTTTACTTTTTGTGGGTTTAATACAGAAAAAAAAAACGTGAGTTGGCAAGAAGTTAAAGTCCTCACATCCCTTGGCAAAAGGCTCCAAAAGTTTTGGTGGTTGAATTTTAAACCCGACGAAGCAAAGACGACATGTTCCTGAGCTCCAGAAAGAGCAACTCGCCAAACACTTTGGCTGAGCAACTAAACTGCTCCAAGCCCGAAAAGGCTGTTCAGTCCAGGAAGTCAGGGAGTGGATATGTCCAAACATCAGGAATCTCGGCGTACATGGGCAACCAAAAGCAGGATGCTTGCTGTAGGATGCCAACGCCTTTTGTGTGGGATGTCAGTTTGGAATGAATGAGCCACTCAATAGGATGCAGACCAAAGATGAGCCAGTTTGGCAAGCCCTTTGAACCAGACCAAAGAAAGGCTTTAGGGGATGCTCAGGATGGTATCAGAGCCCCAGGTGAAATTCGGGTTCCTGGGGCAACTGTGTCGTTCAAAACGGCCCGGGCATGACGGGATGTGGCTGACACATCCACAGGCGTTGGCGGCTTCATGGTGGGACACAAGGGAAACCACTGCCATCTGGCGTAAGGCTTCAGGGATTAAGAACTGATGTTCTCCATCCCTCCTTTGAATCGAGTCATTTTGGGCCTGCCTTAGGCTTCACGACCCGGGGTCTCTTGTGGGCTCCTATCTTTTGAGACACGCCCAGCACGCAAGGTCCCGGACACAAAGCAAAAATCTCACGGAGCGGACAAATACGCTCCGAAGGTGTCTCAAAATGTTGAACCCCTGGAATTTAAAGAGGAACAAAAAACGCACAAAGGACACATGCGCGTCGATGCAAGTGAATTGAAATTTCAATTGTATGGAAATGTCAACTGTATCGAAATTTCAAATGAACTGAAATTGGAATTTGGGTGGCTTAAGCCCGAAATGTGAGATGTGTTGTCTATCGCCAAGGTTCAATACCTTCAAATCCCACCTTCTGTTCGAAGGATCCCGACCATTTTAGCGCCCGATCTGGTTTTGGACATTTCCAGCCCAGGAACTTCCTTGGAAAAGGGGAATGCAATTACAATGTCTGCTAAGTTCTTAACCAACATCTTGTTTTGGGACACTTCCCTTGAAATCAACATACTACAAGAGCCCTTGGATAAATAGAATGGGCATGTGGAGTAGGTTAAAACCCATTTCAGTCATGGGAGGTATATCTAGGCCATTCTAGGCCTTTTTTGGGGTTCAGTTTTTACCCCTAGGGCTTCTTGCAAAATCAATCCCTCCGTGAGTTCTTGAGGTTTCACGCCCGGCAAGGGTCAACATATGACCCCTGATGAATAAACCAACCAGTTCTTCGGGGTCCGGCACCCCGGAAGAAAGGACCCCCCCCTGTTTCTCACAAGTGGGCGGGTTTTTGATCGGTCTTAATCCAGCATTCTAAAATTTGGCCTGTCCACAACCAACACCCGGGTCCCAACTTGCCGCTTTTTCCAAAGTACAAAATTCCCCAAGCACTCTCCAAAAAGGGGGGGGGGGTGCTGGAAGACTTGCCTAGGCGCGTCGACTCCCCCTCTCCCCCTCCCCCGCGCTACTGTGCCTTCAGCTCTCGAGAGAGCTCGTCTGGCTGCAACTCGCTATGGCCATGCCAATGCCTGTGGCTCGCTCAGCGTCCTCCTTTTTGAGCGAAGGGGCCCGGCGTGTTTGGGGGTTGGTTCAATTGGTTCAAGCTGTCTTGGGGTTGATTGCCAGCTTTTTGGGTGGGGGCGTGGGTGGGTGGGGGGATGGCAAGCTTTTTGACGTTGATCTGAAGCTTTTTTTGGACTGGGCTTGAAGCTTTAAGCCAGAATCCCCAAAGAACAGGCTGCTCCTTTTGCCCCCCCTTCAAACATCGCCCCTCCAAAAGGAGCTGAACTCGAACCTGGAAGCCGAACTTCGTTGGATGGTGAGTCAGGCTGGGAGCGCATACCAGCGATACAGTTACACTGCTTGTAAGGGCCGATTCCATCTTTAGTGATTTCGGGACCCGAATGAAAAGGGAAGAAAAGTGGTCATTGAACAAAAAAAAACGGGGGTTGACAAAGAGCTGCTGCTCTTTTCAGGCAGCCAAAGATGAACAGAACCTTCGAAAGCAACAACATGTCAGAGCCTTCCAAAAGGGGTCGAAGGAGCACTTCCCCTGTGAGGCTTGGCAGCTCGCGAGCTTGCGTGCTCCCTCAAAACCAGGAAGATAGAAAAGAATTGGACAAATGAACAAGCAGGGATACGGAGGGAGCGGGGATATGGGGGGATTCCCTTAGCACCATTTCCCATAAACTTAGTCAAGGTGCATTTAGGGCGAATCCTCCCATATCCCTGATTCCCCCTGTATCCCTGCTAGTTGGTTTCCCTCAAAACAGGCTCGTCTCAATGCCAGCGGCTGTCCCAGGTGCTCTTCCACTTCGGTTGATTCACAGTGTCCCATTTCAGAGGGGAGAACACCTTTTCGGGGAACCAGCCTGGTTGGACCAAAACAAATAATGCACTCCAGCTTTTGGGAAACCTGCTTGCTTGGAACAATTCTATGTGAGCAGTGCGCCCTGCTTCGACTCAGTAGTCCAACTCGAACGCAGCTTCGACGAGTGGGACACGCCTCAAGGCCAAAGAGCTCTGCGAAACCGAAGAGCACTCGGGTTTCCCAAAACGCTTGGTATGGGCTGGCTAAAAACTGACGGTTTTTGGCAGACCCCCAGTAAAAATGAACAGAACCAAAAAACTAAAAAACCGAAAAAAACATGCCAAGAACAGTGAAGTCAAGTAAGGGGACCTGAAAGAATTGAAACGTCCCAGAGATGCTCCCGGTGGATTTAGGGCCCTCAAACAACCAGGCTCTGAGCGAGGCTCCGGGGTGTCCAATGGAGGGGTTTGGGTCTTCCATTGAAAGCTTCAGGAGCCTCTGGGGTGATCTTGCCCTCTCTCGTGGTCTTTGGGAAATGCTGAAACTGACTTGCTGAGTGGATGGCCCCCTCCAAAAGGAAGTTGATCTTCCAGGATCCTCCCCAGAGATGCCTTCTGTTAGTGGGAGGAAGGGTACTACTGTGGAAGGGCGAAATCCACTTCGCAGTACCTAAAAGAAACCCTAGTTTCTGATGATTCCCAAACCTAAATACCAACAACCAACCCCTGGTTTCAACCACCGTTTCATTTCGTGGTGCGAAATGGATTTCGCTTTCAACCATCCCCACTGTCACTCACCCTTTACTCCCCACAGCCATATGACCCATCCGCCTCTGGGCCGCGACGGGCCCAAGGGCCAGCCTCGGAAAACAAAGGCCAATTCCTCGAGGCACCAACTCCCGTTGCAACTTGCAACCAGCGAAATGGCCCCCTTTATACCGAGGAAGTCGTCTTCGACCGATTCCGGAATGTCAAGTTCCATGTTGGATGGGAGGGTATAGGCTAAATAACCTGGACCTTCCATTGATACCTTTTTTCCCCTTCATGCCGAACACGTCGTCGACTGATTCCGAAAAGTCGGGTTCCGTGCGAGTGGATGAAGGGAGCCAGTCTCTATGCCCCCGTATACGGTGACCTTCTTCTGACCAGATCGACTCGGGCCAAGACAGGCACAGGCTCGTCCGCATCAGCGGACCTCGCAGACATGGCCCCGGCCAGGAGCATTACAAGGAACATGGGGAATTCAACCCCCACACCCCACCTTGGAGGGTACCCCTTTTTCTTGGCTTCGAAGGGAAACCGAAAGGAAAGCCCCTGTATTGGGAGGTACTCTGATGAGACGAACTGGTAATTATGTTCAAAATGCTTCCATTTGCTCAAGAATATCAGTTTTGTCCCCGCTTGGTGCTTTCTTGGGACTCTATCACTGGGTTTCCATATTATTTGTTCCAGGGAAGAAAAACACAAATGGAGGTATTCCCTGGAACTTGTGTCTCAACTTGTTTCTTCCTAGGTTCGGTTAAGCCGAGGGGTAGTTAAAAAATCGCTCGTGGAAGCGCGGCTTGGGGCCTCATGCAACCAAAATCCCAACTCGGTGCGGCTTCACCAAAGCAGCGGTTGCTAGTGGCACCCGGGTGCGGGTGGCTCTGAACTTGAAGTCGGAGCCACCAAAGTGATGGACAATTCAACACCCCGAGTTCCGATGTCCATGTCGGGACCATTGCAATTCATGGGTGGAGATGTTGGCTTGTTCACATTGCGGAGGTTGATTCAACAATAGTGTTTTCTTTTCTGACGCTGTTCAAGGGGGGGGGGGAATTCCCTCAGTGTCCAAGTAATCCGTAGTGACATCACCTTACCGGCAGGCGGCTTGGTTTGGTGGTTTGGACCGGAAGGGGGGGGGGGGCGGCTTCCCCATTTGGCCAAGGAACTGGGGTTAGCCAATCCAAGCCAATGTGCGCCACGCGGGGAAAAAATCGATGCCGGCACGGCAAGGGGAAACCGCCCGAAGCCCCTCGGAAGTAATTATTTTGAGAACACCTCGCAATGCAACGGGTGGCTCGTCCAATTTTAGATGATTCGGCCCCTAAATTGGTTTTATTTTCCCTTTCGCTCTACAAAAACCCACAACGAAAGGGAGACGAGACACACGCATATACCCTCTCTCCAATCATGGAAGCCCGTGTTGTTGTTTTTTGAACCACAACCTTAAAGCGGCCCACGTCCACTTCTGCGCCTGTTTGATAAAGGTTCAAACACTTGCAACCATGGAATCCTTAGGAGCACACAAGCAAGTCTCTTGCCATTCCGTCATTTGGCGCAAGCACAAAAGTCGACGAACGTGAAACATTCGAATGTTGCAGTACGTGCTCACTGTGCTTATCAGAATGCATGTTTATGTGTCTTTAAAAAACAAATCTAGGTCAAGCGAGCCTAAACCCTTTAAATTGCTATGCCCCATATGTTTCTTTATTAAACAAAAAAGGTCCAGCGAACCTAAACCCGTTTAACCAATATGCCATGCCCCACATTGGCCCAGCGATCGCCGATGGCCAAGCGGCACTCCGCGGGCCTCCAAACGGCACACGATTCGCCGGCGCCGCGCTTCGCCGCGGTTCGCTAACGGAGAATGGGGTTCGACATCCGACAGCTGCGGGTACCGTCGTGATTCGCGTGGGAAGCGGTCGAAAGCGTCCTTGCCGAGACAAGGAAACGGCCACTAAAAGTCAAGTATATCAAGCGCATACGGCACCTGGACCCTGGTGCCTCAGGGCAAAAAGTTCGTGAAACATGAGAATGCCACGTTAATTCTCAAAATTGGGGACCAATTCCTCCGGGTAGGTGGTTTCCTTTCGGTGTCCCTTTCAAACCATCCAACACTTGCTAGTGCTCAGGGAATGAGAAATGGAATGACCCCTATAAACCATCCCTGGCTTCCTGTAAGGGAATCCCAAACGGTTCATTCCTTCATTCCCCGGGTCATTCCCTGCGTATCGCACCAGGAAGAAAACTGGGTCCGAATCCCACATGCCGCCAGTGCCAGCCGCCAGTCAAGCCGTCAACGTGAACGCCCTGAGCCAATCTTCATGGCTCAGTAAGTGAGGACCCTCGGCATAGAAAAAGTAGGCATTCCACCCGCAAATCGATGGGACCCAGACTGCAACCAAACTGATCCATGTCTTTTCTACGTGGAAAGTGACTTTGCCCCGCACGCCACAAAACGAAGCCCCCTGAAGCGCTCCCACGGTACCAAGGGTTGCTTGAAAGGCCATCCATGCCCAAGAAAAAAAAACAAAAACATGGGTGATACCCTCGCTTCCGATCCAGTGGATTGACTCGCCAGAAAACGTTGTAAGCCTTTTGCTTGCCACTAAAATGGACCAGGCCCACAAAATGACTAACGAACCCAGGTGCTCAGGGAGTGAGTGCCTGAATGGATTCTCATCACGACAAGGGACAACTTGCTCAATTTCCGACCTAGGCCGTTCTCGGCACCCACTCTGAAGGACGCACCGAACATGCGGCCAAAGGGCCCACGAAGCTGAAATCAAGAGGGCTGGTGCATCTATTTTGTTTGTGGGCCTGTTCAAGTAACACAACCAGCTGAAGAGATACACATATTGTTATCCAATGGTTTCTGTCATTTGGTTTAACGGTACCCCACAACCCCCTTGTCATTATTGAGGCGACCAAAATGAGTGGGGAAGCTGTGGATGTAAGCTTGTTGAAGAACACCGTTTCATTTCGCAACTGCAAAAACAAACCCCAAACAATAATTTTGACGTTGACGAGGGTCCCCAAATCCAACCATGAGACAAACACATGTCCTGCAAAAGAGGTTCACAGTGCATCAAACATGTGACCCGCGCAGGAAGTTACGTGTTCCCAAGCTCACGTTGACAAATTGGGTGGCCTCAACCTCTAGATATCATTACCTAGTTTCGGCAAAAGACCAATGGCTGAGCCCCAGCCTCGTCCCCAAACAAACCAAGACCAGGAAGTTCGTCGAGAAGTTGTTTCCTGCAGTGAGTTCAACAAGTGTGCAGGGACCTCCATTTTTTGGGGGTGGTTTTCTTTTTGCTTGTCCTTTAAGACCTACCGACCTACCAAAAAAGGTATACCCCCTCAGACAAGGTGGCTCGTGCTTTGACAGGGTGCCATGTTGTCTGGTTGGTTTAAGGCAAACACGCCTTTTTATGGGTCCTATCTTGGCACAGAAATGCTGTGCTTCTTTTTGAGTACCTTTGGTTTGAAGGGAACCGCCTCAAATTCAACGTGGGCGTTTTTTTTGGGGATTTGGACCTCTAAAATGGATTTCGGTGTTCCTTTAGTTTTCCTTTAAAATCCACCAACCTAGAGGTGCCCTCAACAAAACACACACCCATGTGAGCGTCCATGAGAGCCAAAACTTGCTCCCGAGGCAGCGCAGCCTCTTTTCACCGCGGTGGGTTCGGCTTGAAGCGATGCAACTCTCTTGGCTGTGTAGTTCTTTGTTTTAAAGGGGGTATGTGACAAAGCAACGCTAGGTCCTCCAGTAGAGAGGATAGAATAAGGGTACCCTTTTTTCTGTAGTCTATTTTAGTAGGGGAACCCTCACCCAAGAAAGAAATGGGTGATAAAGAGCACGGAGCTGGGGGACCTAGAACTGCTTCAAGGCCATTGTCTGCATCGGAGACAGTCCCCGTGCTCAGCTGGGATCGTCTGACATCACACTGCCTTAGAGCGGCCCAACAAATAAATCTAACTCCCACCCCACCCCACCCACTGCAGCTGAAAGGTACCCTCCAAAAAAAAGAGGTCTGGGTTTAATTGTGGAATCCCATTCGGAACCAGCCGGGGGAGGGGGGGGCGGTTGTCTAAGGCTTCGGAATTGGAAAAGCAATCCTAAGGAAGCTCTCAACTACCCAACCCCCATTGCACCCACCTCCGGATAGGACGCCAAAACAACTCTTTGAGAGTCCTTTTGAGGCCGTCGCTTGGGAGGCGCGTTCTGCGGGGGGTGGGGGCATGGGCTTTCCTCAAAATCGGTCCGCCCTGAAACGGAGGGGGTCCTTTTGTGTCCCTTTAGGGGTATGTGCCAAGATAGGGATTCGGACCTTTAGATTGGTGGGTTGTCATTGTGGCATCCCCTTAAAGCCTAAAAAAGGGTACCTGGACCCTCACACTACCAAAAACAACATGGACATGCCGGGCTGTTTTGGTCCGCAATCCATTTTTAAGTTGGAGTTGTGAGGGTCCGAGTCCAGGTGCTCCACCAAAAAACGAGGCACGAATCCGCCAACGACTACCCACCAAAAGCCGGCTAACAGCCTCTGGATTCCATTGGCGTCCCATCCGGAGGTGGGTGCAAGGGGGTTGGGTAGTTGAGAACTTCTAGGATTACTTTTCCAATTCCGAAGCCTTAGGGAACCAGCGACCCAAATCCAGAACCCAAAGGGCGGATTCCCAGCACCCGATTTGGTCCCACCGGCAACCACAGCTTTTTGGTGACCGTACCAAGGGGAATTTTGGGCTCCAGGGTTGGGAAAGCAGCTAGTTGGGCCCGGGTGTGGATGGTTGTGCTTGTGATGTTGTAGCTTTGCGTACTTTGCCAAATATGTGATTGAGAACTGCCCTAACTTTGATCAACTGACCAGTTCCCGGAGTTCCTACTTCATAGGCCATGCATCAATTCCAAAGGGTCTTCTTGTCAGTTTCAAGACAACTCTGCTGGCATTGTGGCATGAAAACTCCTTCAGGCACTTTCCGTTTCCAAGGAGCTCTTTGACAGTCGAACACGTAGAATGGATTCTTCATGACACAAGTAAACCCCAAGAACGCCCGTTTTAATCAGCCACAAATGCTGGCATTTGTAGGGAGCAACAACCTGCCAGGCGAATTACAATTCCTTGCCAAAAATGACGAAAGGACAAACAATTGCATGTTGCACACAAATACCAACAAGTGCCCGGCCCTCTCAAAAAAACAACCAACAAATTGAGGCGCAAACAAAAGCCACGCGGCCTCCCTAGCAGTTGGAGTCCAACCGAGGCCGGCGCGCGCCGGTCGAAAGAAGCGCGCTATGGAAGGCCTCGAGCCTGGCCCATAGCTCTCCGGAGACTGTGGAAATGGACGACATCCATTTCGCAATTTGAAATGGTTGAAACCATCATTTGAAATTTGGGAAACCCTAGTCCCATGCGAAGATGATTTCTGCTTGTATTTACGGAATCGAATCAGAAACCAGGGGTTTCTGAACGGTGCGAAAGGGATTTCGTCCACAGTAGGGAAAATGGAGATCGGCAGAAACTCGCCATGACATGTGGTGCGAGACATGCAGGGAATAAGAACTGGACTGAACCTGGGGGTGGTTGTTCTTCGGCCTCGTTCCATTTCTCCTTCCCTGCATCTCTCGCACCAAACGGGGCATGAAGAATTTCAGGGGTCACCCGCTTCCCCCAATCGGGGCGATGTCTTGGCCCGACTTGGTGGTCGACATTTCCGCGGGCCCCCGCTGAGCCCCAAACATCTACTCGTCCAGGGTCACAGTTTCGTTTGTCCATAACATTATTTAATAACAAATGCTTTTCATAAAAGATAACAAACAATAAATATGCTTAAAGGATACCAAACAACTAGCTAAACCAATGTCGATGTTATGGAAAAAGAAAAAAATGAAAACAAACGAACAGTTGGAATTTTAGAACAACTGGGACAAATGGAATGCAAAGTGTGGACCGGGGGCCAAAGTGGAACACAGAAACGTCCTGACTTCAGATGACGAATCCTGTTGAGGCTGCAGCTTTGAGAGTTTCCTAGGCAACCCCTTTCTTCAAAAGGGATTATTGGGGACCCACGCTCTTCACGACTGCATTCCCAGCATCCTCTGCCTATCCCCATGCCATCCCAAGCATCCTCATCCCTGCACCCACGTCATCCCAAACATGCTTTGCATCCGTCAACCCTATCATCCCTAGCTTCCCCATCATTTCAATCGTTGCGCATTCGCGGTTCTGTTTTTGCTTCTGCATGTTGCAACATCCCCCCTGTCCTCAGCACTTCCCACATCCATAACAAGCAACCTCTGCATGAATCTTTAACTACCACACTTCACCAAACCTAGAGTCTGAAACAGCCAAAAGGAACGAATCGATGGTTGATCCGGTTTCCAATGATTCACCACTTAGGTCCCCTCCCAACGAAAACTGAGAGATCACCCTGGGACGACCAGTCTGCGTTGGTTTCCCCTTCAGTGGATTCTCCAATTCGATCCAATTCGGCCCTTTAGGTGCAAGGAACGAATGGGAAATAAAGGTGGACCCTACCTTCAGATACCAGTAAGTCTTGTGAAGCGATCAAGGCTTAGAGGCGAATTCGTAGCCGCAGCCCGGGTGGAAGAAGGATGTGGGGCGCTGATCAAACGGTCCTTTAAATGCGATGACCATTGGAAAAAACAATACGGATTCGACTTTCCCACATAGGAAAACCTGACCGTGGTCATCGGTCATTTGGGGGCTGAACGGAATATGGATCAACCTCCATGTCATGTTCAGCCGGGAAGCGACCTCGGTCTTAACACAGAATTTTCTCCCCACCGCGCGGTTTTAAACCGGCACATCGGCAGAGTCTAAGCCGCCGAAGCAAGTCGAACGGGAGGAAACTGGCCGTTTGACCCAAGAGGCAAAGCTGGCGCCCTTTTCAAAATATACCGCAAACAACTTTGCTTTTGGAAACACAACAGCATCCTTAGTGGGAGGCTAAGCTGGACAACCATGGGGATCACCTGGAAAACACCGGACGCCTTGATGTGTGCTAGTTCTTTCGGGTTTCTTACCCTTCTTTGCCTCCGGCATCCAACCTGGCAGAATATGCCAAACCTCACCTAAAGACTGACATTACAGTCTCACGCACCCCTTGGGGGTGGCGCATCTTTACACGCCCCGCCGGCGCGAACGCCCTAGCTTCCGTCAGCCCACTTGCGCCGGTACCACACCTCGGAACGCGGGAAACCGCGGCGAACCAAACAAAGCGGCGCCGCTGCTGTAAACCGCCGAAAAGTCGCCGGTAAAACGCGAAAATCTGCTGGCTGAGATGGGATGTGCCTGAGGGTCTGGGACAGCTGTCGCAGAAATTGCCCCGTCTGCTGGGTCTGAGGGTGCAACCTTAGGTGCCTTTTGGCCAAGAACCCTTGCCCTTTCCAGCACCCCAACTACTGCTTTTTCCCATGTCCAAGTCCCAAGTACTGTCCAAGAAAACAGTAGTTGGGACCCGACTGCCCTTTCGGCGAAAGAAAGGCATCACAGGGTCCCAGTGAAGAAAAGAAACTAGTACTCAAGGCAAAGGAACACATTGTTGCGTCTTTTTTTGAGGCTACGCGGCTACACCATGTTTGTGGATTTCAACTGAAACCAAAAGGACGAGCACTTTTTTTTGGAGTACCCCTATTTTGAGACACACCCACGCAATGAATACTTGATTTCATTCTAACCACATCAAAACCAGAGATGTGTTGTGATTTAACAACAGCCTGTGGATTAAAACCTAATTCAAAAGGAGAACCCCAGCACCCGTTGGTTGGGACCCGGGTGCTGGTTTGCAATCGTGCGCCTGTCGGTTTGGTCCATGGTAAGAAACCCCGCATCCGAACCACATACCATGGCCATAAAGGGGACCCCTTTCTGCTTGATTTCAAGGGGAGCCAAAATGAAACAATTGCCGTTTTGGGGGTTCCGGTTCCGAGACACCCTCAAGAAATCGGGCGCGTACGATCCCATGCGCGCTTCAACCCGAAGCCGGAAGCGAGGCGCAACATACTCGGGGAACACCTGGTGATCCTCAAAGACCACGAATTCCCCTCGGCCGTTGGGCAAAGACCGTTGCCGGACAGAAGGTCATCCGATTTGGGCAAGGCGGGGATTAAAGGGGAGCTACACATACATGGGTGTGTCTTTTCTTTAGGAGAATCTTTGTTTTCCTCTAGGCTTCCCTTTTACAGCTGCAAAAAAAAAAACTCAAAAAGAAGACGCACACACACACACACACACACATAATATGATTGCCCTATGACGTATGTTGGTCAACAGTACCCCCAATCCTTTAGGCCCTAAACAGTCCCTTCGGTTCTTTCAATTCAGCAGGCAAAGCGCCAAAACCTTCGAGGCGCAAGTTCTTCACACGTGCAAGTTCTTGGGACGTCACTTCCACGAATTCCACAATTCCTTCCTTCACGTGCTTCTGAAACGCCCACTGGTTCTGAAACACATGAGCAGATTGACTGTTCCACGCAAATCAACATAACATGGAACCCGTTTTTGAGGGATGCCCCCCTTGTTGGAGATTCCTCTAAGCAGGGTTTTCAGCTATCTTAGCACAGGTGGGACAAGAAAACTCCGAGCAAGCAGAACACCTGGCTGATTTTCATCGGGGTCGCTATAGTGGGGGAGTCAGACCACTTTTGGGAGCAGAAATGCTAAACGAAAAGGGTGCTACTTAGATCCCGGGTCAACATCAAGTACGTAAACTGTGCCGTTCTACAAACTGAATTCTTCCAACTTCCCACTTCTGCCAGCTTCCCTGACTCTCATCCTGCTTCGAATGCGTACTGAGGGGCCCGGGGTCAGTATGCAGTGGATTCCCCCGGCGTGCGGTTCGCCGGTGTTTCTCACCCTTTCTAGCCCCACTTTAAGAAATTGTTAAATTAGGTACCCAGCCATGCTCCTTGAGTCTTTGATTTTCCGAATGAACGGTGCAAGGGGAAAGAAACGCCCAACCTGTCTCGATGCAAACAACATGTTAGGGGCCTTTGGGGGTTTTTAAGGGCCCTGCCAGAAGGGCACCTGCCAGGAACACGAAAGGGACCAAGGGGACGCAGGGACGCCAAAGGGAAACCACAAAACACTGGAGCCTTCACTCAGTTGCCCAGAGGACCCAGAAAGAAAAGGTTAGCCTTGTGGTTCCACATGTTCCACTAAAAAATGGGCCAACTCACGGAAAGGCCAAAAGGTCAAAAGGTCAAAAGGTCAAAAGGTCAAAAGCTCGGGTTTTTGAACAAGACGCCAAAGGGATGCTCAAGGAACACCAAAGGGAAACCCCAAAAAAGACTGGAGCCTTGTGACTCGTCCCTTCCCAGGGCTGGAAAACCAAAGTGACCCGCGCGGGTCCCCGTCAGCCGAGGCTTGCCGAGGGGCGGAAGGTCTGCCGCAGCTTTTCGCGGTCCCCGAGCACCGAGTGGAAGAAATCCTGGGCGAACGGCGAACGGAGAACCGAGCGGGTTTCCCATCGCCATAACCACGCAGTTTCCCCGGATGGGTTTCACTGAGCTCTATGGTTTTCTCCCAATCCCCCCCCAGTTGTTTTTTTTTTTTTTTTTTGAAAATTGGTGGTTTTGTTCTTCCGGAGTAGATCACCTTTATATAGTGGCTATATAATATATACTGGCTGTGTCTCCCATTAGAATGCTGGTAGTGGTTTGGGGGTAGTGGAAACTCTGAGAAGTAGGATCCGAGCATGCATTGGGGTTCCGAGGGGGTTTTCGGGGATGCAAAGGGCGGTTCTGAGGACTGCCGTTTTGAAGGGATGCGGTGAACTCAACCGCAAATATGCAGCAAACAGGTTGCGAAATACTGACATTCGCCATGCGCGGTTGATCATTTTGCGATAGGTTGAAAACCCACTGTATAGTGGGGCAGGGAATGCACTACTTCGAAAGGAGTCAGTGGGAAGCTCATTCGCGCTTCATGCTTCAAGGTTTGCATGATGTTCTCATGCCGGACGCTTCATCTTGTCATGCTGGTGCACCAGGGTGGGCTCATCACATAGCGCGGCTTGACCAACCGACTTCCGATCAGATCTCAACCAGTGGAACCCATCTTTAAGCGCCTTCTTCACCGATCAAAAGGACACCTAGGTCCTCCAGTGAGGTTGGAATGAGGGCACCCACCTTTTTTCGGTAGCCTATTTTAGTAGGGGAACCAAATCTCCCAACCAAAAAAAAGGAACGGCAAGAAAGGGGCACCACTGGCTGGGGGACCAATCGCCCATGTTTCCCGGACCTGGCTTTCCCTGGCTCTTCCTCCGGCCCACCAGGCTCAGCGCGGCCAAGTCGCGGTGCTCGCCCTGCAAGACCTCCGTAAGGCGTCGCCCAGCGGATCCTCTCGCGTCCGAAGTCCGAAGTCCGAAGTCCGGCCGCTTTTGGATCGGATCGGAGGGCGTGAGGGTGAGGCTCGGATACCAAGAGGTCATATCCCTTCGCCATGTTCAGTCCACTGGGCCATGGGCTTTTTCCACAAAAACCTCTCCGGCCGCTTTCGAATCGGATAGCGTGGGTTTGAGGCCTTAAGGTCCAGTTACCAAGCGAAGCAGGTAACCCTTCGATCCGATGCTGGGTGTTCCGCAGAAACACCTCTGGGAAGTGGCCTTAATAGCCGAAGCTGGTTTCCCTAAAATGGCAGCTTTGGACGACCTCGGCTCGGCCTTTCACGAAACAGGGGGCAGCTCGGAAGGAAGGGACCGGAGGAGGTTGGGCTATGAAAACAAAGAACCTCGGTCGGGGTGTTAGCATGGAGCGTGCTCCTTTTGCCACAAGCTCAAATCCCGAGGTAGGTTTTTCAGGCCCCAGTCGCTGTCCTAGAACTGCAAAACGGGGCCTCTGACCCATGTCTGATCTTGATCCCAAAACCAAGGGCCCAGTTGAATGCTGCTTGGCGCGGAAAACTCCGAGCGCCGAACAACCAAGGGCCCAGTGCGGAAAACTCCGAGCATCCTGCCGAACGTGTCGAGCCTCCGCATCGCAGTAGTTCACGTTGCCCAGAGTCACCCGACACAGGATCAGCGGGAATAGCCTCGGTCGAGCCGAGCGGAGGAGTGGAGTTAAATGGACGCACACTGCTCTTTCACGCTGCATCCGAGTTTGGTGGCACTTGTGGTGTTTGTGTTAAGGGTCCATGAGAAATGAGACCTGGACCCTTCTCTCGAAGATTCCTTGAAGTGCTGCCAATCTTGACACTCACACACCAAGCGGCATGTCGGCATTGGGCTTTGCATACTCGTCAGCTTTCAAGCAGCTTTCCTGGGCGAGCAGCATTTTTGGACGCCGCTTGTGGCTGCAAAGGCCAATGGGAGTAAACTCTGCTGTTGGGTGATCTTGATTTCTCCCAAGTCCCAAAATCGCCAAAATTGGGCTCCTGATGAACCAAAGGACACTTCGAACCGCCTTTTAGCCAACGGCCGAGCCATGTTGGAGTTGCTCAACATGGTCACCGCTTGAGACACCCAGTTCCCCACCAGCCCAAAGCGGGTCGGGACATTGGCCGAAAGCTCAAGCGAGACTGCCATGCACACAGGATGGCAGCCCTGTGGACAAAATCCACTTCGCATCAGGTGACTTTTCCCAGCTTTCACGGGGCGTCATCCATCCCAACCGTGCTAAAAATAACTTTGTCCAGTTCACCTAAACAGCAACCCGAAAGAATTGGCCATCGCCAGATTTCGGCACGTTGCTTCGTCCACCACCCCTCAAAAAAGAAGAAGAAAACAAAAACATCTTTCTTCTCCTTTTGGTTTTCGGGGGAGGGAAAAAAACAAAACACGATCTTTCTTCGCCTTCTAAAAAAGAAACGGAACGGCCGGGCAGCTGCAAAGTAGAGCCCGCGCCCGAAGAGCGAGCCGCGCCCAGTGCCCGCCTGCGCGGTGAGTCGTTTTTGGCCCCCTAGGCTCCCACCAGCTGACGTTTGGGACAGGGAAAATGGTCCCTTTGAAAATTGGTCCAGCACCCGAAACATCAGGTTCCAGAATGCTTGAGCACCTGGATCCCTCTTGCCGTTCGCTTCTTATGCCCAGAATCCCAAGTGCCCAAAAAGTGGTTCGGACCCAGCTGGGAATCAACCTCCAAACCTGGGCAGCTTTGCAATGCACCGGGATTTTGAATATTCGTCAATATGCAGGGACCCTTACATTATACACCTGAACATTGTCTTGTAACTGGTGGTGTCCCTTTACTTTGGTGGAAAAAGCCATGATTCAAATGGGCAACGTGTATCTTTTAAGGAGCCCTGATATGTGTGCAGTTTTCGGAGTTGTGTTGGGACGTGGCTTAAACGGACAGGCAAAGCGTCTTTCCTGAAATGGGACAACAAACATCATCCAGGGGCTTCTGAATAGTCAATATCGGCTTTTGGGATGCCTTTTGATATTCCTCACCGATCACAAAGGGGCACCCTCAGTTCTCATCTGATCCTGGCAAGAAAGGACCTCAGATTGCAACTTCGGGGTTCTTTTTTCCAAAATCAACCCTGCGTTTCTGCGTCTACCTCGAGGTTGTTTTTTGCCGCAGGATTGTCTTAGCCCCCTGGTGGCTCGGGGTGGTTGTTGCATGTACCCTCCCACCCATTTCACATGGAAGTTGACAGGGTCTTGGAAGCCCATCTTCCTTTTAAAGGGACCGGGTCCCGAACGTCAGGTTCCCCCTGTTATTGGGCGCATCTCCCGTGGCTTGACAACCAGCAGGAGTACTTCCTAAGGGACCCATTGACCGTTTTTCAGGTGGTCCGGATAAAAACATAGGAAACTCCTCAAGAACTTGACAGGGCAACATGAGGGACATCAGTTGTGTCCTAGCACCTAATCCAACTTAATAAATAGTACCCCACAACCTCGTTCAAACTATTTGGGCCCCTATAGTAAGGAGGGGGGTTGTTCCAACCACAAGCTTTTGGCTTCCCTTGCGAATCGGGCCAGGCAATGTTGGCAGCATTTTACCCCTATCAGACCAGCCCTTGGAAAAACATGGGTCCAATCTGGGTGTGGGGCTTGTTCAAACCTCTTTTTGGCTTCCCTTTGAAGGAACTGGAGTGGGGCTATGGTCACAGGTGCCCTTTTAGTCTTGGGAATTTTGATTGCCCTGGCAGACTATGAACCAACCAGGTCCGCCAGGGCTAGCCTATGGCTAAACTCATCAGCAAGGGCAGCCCCAGCGAACCCCCGGTAAACCCTTGTAAGCAGGACTCCTGCCCATGTACCTGACCAATGCATGTTCCAACACCAAAGGGCACTAAGTCACTCTTCTGGGAAACACATCTAGTTAAGATATAAAAACTTTGGACACATCTAGCTAAGATATGGGAGGTATGGGACACATGTGCTGGGTCGAGTGGTCCCATGGATTCGCTCCTTCGAGGGTGGCTCCCCTCGATTCGGGCCTGGCGCAGGTCGAAGCCCTGGCGCGCGATGCTCGTGGCCTCTTTGGGCCCGGTGCCGTGCCACAAGTAGCACTCCTCGAATGCGGCTCAAAGGGACCAGGGGAGGGGGCGGGGGTGGTTGGGGTTGGGGTGGGGGGTTGGGGTGGGGGGTTGGGGTGGGGGGCTGTGAGATTCAGAAATTGGTGGGTTGCGGGTTCGGCGGGCTGGTTGGTTGGGGTTGGGGTTCGTTGTTGGGGGAGTTGGCCAATTTTGCAAAGTCCAGTAAGCTTACATCCTCAATACGGCTTATCGTTCAAATCTTGGTGTGAACGCAGCTTCACATTGCTTGTAGATCAGGTGTGCAGCTTGTGCAGCTTGTGCAGCTTCACCCACGTGTTTGGCCACTGGAAGGCTTTACCCATCGGATCCCATGCTTCATGCCTCTAGATGGTGATTTAAAGGGCAACCACCAGCAAAACAATCATTCTGCAAAGCCCTGAAAATGCAACCACATTGATGGGCCCAGTTTTTTGCTTTGGGGTGTCGGGGGGGTTTGAGGGTTGAGCCGAGACAAACCACGGGGCATTGTGAGAAAACCAGCGAACCTCCAGAAAACCAGCGCCGGAAATGCCCCCCCCCCACCCGCGCATGGATTGCGGGCTCCCTGTCATGGTATGCCACGGTCAAAGCTCCCCGAGATCCTTCCCATGGCCTGAAATCCTTAAGCTGATGATGATCCCTGCACCAAGTAAAGGGGGGTCTGAACTTTTTGGATTATTTTACAGGGAAGCCAACAGGAAACCACCCTTTTTGGGGGTTCCCTTTTTTGAGACAACCTCAACCTCATGTCATTCTTGGGGCTAGCCCATATCTGATCCGGAGCTTGGCCTTTTTCGTCTTCGAAAACGGGCTCTTCGCCATAGCCTCTCTTGGTGCCGAATTGGTTGCTGTCACATCCGTCCGGGCCTTTTCTCGTGAACTTCGAGAAATTGATTTAACATTCAAAAGAAAACAACGCAAAAAGCCCAAACTGGGAAGGACAAGGCACCACCGTTTTGGTGTCCTTTTAGTTGGATGTGTTTCCCTGGCAAAATGGTTGGCAGAAAACCCATCTAGTGCCATCGACTTCTACCTAGAGTCTCCATGACCCTTAAAAAATGGGGTCACTACCTAAAACAACGGGGTGGTTGACCCATTTTTAAAGGGTCATGGAGACTCCAGGTACATATATCTACTCAAACTTTTCTAAAAATCCGGACACCCAGAGCCCCCCCACTTTCATCAGAGATTCGTTGAGATCAGCCCTCAGGGTGCCAAGACGCGACCTGCCGCGAGGCGCCGCGATGCGTCTTGTGTCGGAAGCCGTCTCTCCGCTGTTCTCTCGGAGATTCTTGTGTCAACCACCCCAACTACTGCTTTTTGGACAGTAGTAGCGGGATTGTGGACATGGAAAAGGAAAAACAGTTGGGGTAGGAAGTCCTTTTGCTTCTAGGGGTTTTCGCAAGGCTCCAACGGGATGTCCAAACCTGTAAACACCCCAAAATCGGTACCTCAAAAATCGGATCGGCGGGGGTTATCTCAACTTGCCCGAAATGTCGTGGTTGAAGAAACCAGGGTTCTCGAAACCGGGTTTTTGGCCTTATATAAACTCTTCTATCCAGCATAGCTTTAGTGCCCTCCAATGAAGGGCACTTGACATGTTTTTGGACAAAGGGTACTTAAGGCCTTGTCGTTGGCCTAAGTGACCCTTTGATTCGCCCTTTTTGGCTTGATAGGGGTTGGGATTCTGTTGAAATCGAACAGCTACCCGTGTCGAAGTGTGACAACTGCCACATTTGATTGGGGCCGACCCGGAAAGCCCGAACCTGGCGTTTTGAGTGTCATTTGAGTGTCAGTGGAATTGCGAATCGAGGTCACTTACCCCTTGAAAAGGTCACTTACGCTGTCAGTCCCCCCGAGGTCGCGTCCCTCATCCCTTGTGAGACTGAGGCGGGATCTGGGGCGGAAAACCCTGAGGGGTCTAAGTGCCCTTTACATGGCTGAAGTGACCTCTTTGATTTAGGACTCAGTGCCAAACATATTTTCAAAATGGTTCATAGCACTAAACAAATGAATCGAGGGCACTGAAAAGAAGCTGGATGGCACGGTTTTCTGACTAGCAGCCTACTAGTTGATCATTATTTTGCGTAGCAATATAATGAAGCAACCTAGGAGGCGCTGGTCAAAAATTCGTGCCATTGGAAATCGAGCGAAGCGAGAGTTTCTGTGGCCGGATTTTGAGTTGGGATACCCTGGGTCGTGCCCGAAGCCTTTACGGAATCAAAGTTTGCTGTCAAACCTTTCCTGCAACAAAAAATCCAACCGGAAAACTACGGTGCCGCGTACCGTAGAGAACACCTCCCCTCGCCTCGAAGAAGTCGAAGCCGTGCCTCGCCGTAGAGCGGCTCGCCGTTTTTTTGTTTCTTGCTTTCGGCCCAGCGGCCAGGATTTTAAATGCTGACTTCCAGGCGTGCTTAGGATTTGTCCCAAAAAACATTAGCTGGAAACACTTCCGACAGTCAACCATGAAGCTGGAAGCTTGACCCGAGTGGGCTCTTAGATTCTCAGATGCACACCAGCGATGGGAAGCGAATCGGAGCCCGTTCAACGGGCCTGGGAGTTACGCCCCGGGACCACCGGTCGGCGCTCGCTGGGTCTTGAAAATTGCCGCAGAGGGAAACCAACTGAACCATAGTAGAGGGGTTAACATGTTTGAATGGCGAGCTGGATCGCCCAAGCCTGCAATGGCCGCTGCTCACAACCCTCCCAATGTTTTTAACCTCCCACTAAATGACCCTCTGAGATGCTGGCTTACAAGAAAGCCGGGAACCCGAAAATCAAGTCCCCGCATTGCATCCACTTTCAGGGACGGGCAGAAACCGCCAGGGATTTGAGCCATGTCCTAAAAGTGTCATGGCTTGCTATGTCGCATCATTTTGCTTATGCCCCCGCTTGCGCAGCTACGCAACGCACGTTTTGGCTTACGCCGCACATGTGGAGCACAGGTGGATGTGACGCAACTCAAACTAAACTGTACACAGTAAATGAGCATGTTTAAACCAGTGTTCCCAAAAACCTCCTGGTTTCCCTTCAAAGGCAACCCTGCCATTTGGTGCACTTTTATTTTGCCTCACTCAGGATGCTGAGAACCCAACAGGACCGGGGACTCAGGGAGCGCCTCAAGATGGGGCTCGCTCCTCTATGACAAGGCCCTTTGGCTTTGGTTAAAAGAGCCTGAAAAGGATAGCCTCGAGACAAAAAACACATCAGCAACCCCAAATAATTCTCACCCTTTCCCACCATCGCAGAAGCAGCCCCAAACAATTCCTGCCGTTTCCCACTCTTTGTGATCAAAAAACAAGTCCAACTACGGGGGACCTCCGGGCACGGGCCAAAATTAAACCACCAGGAATTGGACCGCAGAGTTTAGTCCATGTCTCCATTGACCAGGGCAACCCATTTTGAGGTTACCCTATTTTTGACCCACGGCCAGATATTTTGAGCAAACCTCCAGTCCTCCCTGGTCACCACGGGGTTTCCCGGATCACCCGAGCGAGGCGCGGATGTCCCAGCGCGCGGCGCCACAGGGCATCTCGCTCTCGATGACCTTCTGCCCTGAGCGGACATCGACTCAAAAACACGAGCCGAAGTGGAAGGGAAGAACAGGTCGCCTCATCGGGCCTCCAAATAGGAATCGGAACCCCGAAAATGTTACCAACTAGGTCCTCCAGACTTGAGAGGTTAGAATAATTGGGTACCCCATGTTTTCCTGTTCTGTCTATTTTTGTAGGGGGTAACCCTCCCAACCAGAAAGGAGAGAAGGGCACCTAGCTGGGGGACCTAGTCGACTCAAAAACACGAGCCGCAGTGGTCGCCTCCGGCCTCAAAATGGGGATCGGACCCCCGAAAAGGCATCTCTGTCCAAATTTTCCTGGCTTCTCAGCAAGGGGGACGAGCCCTAAACAAAAAGACGGAAGAAAACAACAAAAAGTAGGACAAGAGCTTGAAAAAAAAGAAAGAGCGAGCGACCCACCCGTTTTTGAGACCACCGAAACTTCGCAAGTCCGGCGAGCTGCGGATGAGGTACTTGAGGTAGACCTCCTCCTTCCGCAGCGCCACCACGCGCTGCACCTCCAGACTCTCCGGCGCCGCGCCCGCGCGGTCCCTGGACGATCCGAGACCCGAGATCCAGCGCTCCAAACGGCGGCGCTGGACGCCGTGGGCAACGATTCACCTCCAAAAAACCAAAACAAAAACGCGGCGAAAGATCCGAAACCAGCCGTGTGCTTGTTAAAACAGCTCCAGGACATTGGAAGAAAAAAAAACAGTTGGGCCATGGCTAGGTCAAACGATGTTCAACAAACCCGGACTTCAATGTTTCATGCATTCATTTTAGTGAACAAAAATGTTTCAGATGTTCCACGTTGACCCAGTTGTCTCAAAGGTTTCTTGTGAAGTCACATGTGCTGGCTTCCTCCACGAACAAACTCGGAGTTCATACCAAGCATGATTGTGGAAAAGGACTCTAGTGATACCAGGTGGAATTCCCATCCTTATCACTCAATCACAAAAGGCGGACAGAAACTTGCGCGAAATACTGTTTTGGCCGGATGGGTCATAGTCAAAGGGGGGGACCCCGAAAGTGACGCAAAGGCCCCTCAAAGCGTGTCTGCGTCTGTGTCTGTAGGCAAACCCCAGGTATCTGTGTTTGTGTGTTTGTGTCTGCGTGTGAAACTGGGAAGGACCGTCCAAGAGGGCGCAGCGGGCTTCCTTGTTGGCTTCCCTTGTAACCAGGACAGGGTCCCATCACAACCCCAGTGTTGGTGTCTGTGCCCTCAAAACCGAAGGTATCCGTGTTGGCGCGTTTGGGTTTGGAGCTCTGATTGGCTCCCCCCGTTTTCTTCACCGCCCCTTGTGGCTGGTCTCTAAGGTAGATGAAGGTTAGTAAGGGACGATCCCAACCATAAATAGGTGCGGCCGCCTTCTTAATCCTTTACATGGTTCTGGGATGTTCTGGGTTCACCATTTGTGTACCGCCCCCAGTTTCACACAACAAGCAGACAAAAGCAGCTCCGTCCGTGCCTGGTCCGAGTGCCTCGTCCATGAGCGCCCCAACCGGTGTAGGTCTCGTTCAACAAGCACTGCATGTCTGGGATGGAGACATCCTACGGGCGAATCCAAGAAATGGGTATGGGAACTATAGAAAAAATATGGTCACCCCCCCAGGGCCTACCTTTCCTCTCCACTAGTTGAAGGTGTCAAGTCTAATTACTCCGTCTACTCCGGTTGAGCATATATATATATATGGCTTAAAATTGGTAGCGCAGGTTGGAGTGCTTCCCATTCACGCTGCTTTCTAGAAGAACCAGGCGTTCAAATCCAAATCCAAACCACCAAGTCACGATTACCTCATTTGGGTGTGGGTCAAAATTACACCGGGATATGGGAGCGCAGGTTGTGGTCCTTGTTGTCATTTACCAGGATTTTGGATGGGGGCAGGAGATCCCTCCCAAATTGACCCGGTACTACCTGAGGGTTGAATGAACTTCGTGCAACTTCTCCGCACCAGCAACTCGTTTGGCATGCCTGGTCTTACCACAATTGCTTCAGACATCCTCGTGGGATCTCGAAATCGATCACAGGTGTCAAGTCTCGGAGCACCAAAGCCTGGACCTCGCCAGAAAAGAAGGTGCGTTTCAGAGAAACACCAGGCGCAATCTCAAGCTCCGCGTGAGTCCTTGCAAATCAACCGAAAAACGGGTACTACCAATCAGCCGAAATGGCTGGTGTGGTTTGGTGGCGTGGTTTGGTGCTTTAGGGCGCCTCTCTTGCACACGGGAAACTCTGGCGACTCCAATGGCTTCTGGCTTGCCTTTTTTTTGGATTGCTTTGGATCGCCGCTTTTTTTTTGGATGTTTGGGTTTCTGGCACACGTTTCGGTTTGGTTGCTTTTTTGGGACGGCTTCCGGGCTCTCGAAAACCCGGACACCATCGACCAACCAACTCCGCCGAAATCTCCCACCCAGTTCGCAGGCCCAATGTGGGCGGAGCCTCGTACCCCGGGAAACCGTCCGAGTGGTCTCGGGAAATGTGACCCCCTCGGAACAAGTGTCCACGAAACCCCTCGAAGCACCTTCTCTTCTTTTTGGGGTGAGGGTGTGCTTCCCCTCGGAAAAAAAAAAAGCTGTGGCGCGAAACCCGGAAACACACACCTCCGGCGATTTTTTGGTTTTTAATCAATGAGGACGGGTTCTACTTCGATCCGCGGGACGCGGGACTGCTTTTCCATCCCTCCTGGATCTGCGTGAGCTGCTGCTGGCATCGCGCGGCTGACTCCTGGATTCGGATCGAAAACCATGGCCTCGAGACCCAAGCCGCGGTTTCTCCCAGCACGAGGTGGGGCGATCCGAGATCCCACGGGGCGAGCCGGCCCTCCAAAAAAGGGGGCGGAACGTGTTTTTGCCTTTTTTTCCTTTAAACAAAAAAACAAAAACCAAAAAAAAACCAAAAAATCACATCTGGTCTCCCTTGGTACGCACCAGAAAAAGGGGACATGTCCAGCTCAGAAAGGCCCATGGCAGAGGATGCTTGCCTTGTTTTGGTTTCCCTTGCCCACCCAAAAATGGTTGGAAATGTCCGAGGAAAAAGACACACCCAAGCCATGGTCCTGGAATGCTCCTTCCCCTTTCTGTGACACGCTTTGGTCATTCCCGTGACTACGTTCTCAAAGTTGAAGAGGATTCCCGAAAGTCGCAGGAAGTACAAACCTAAACTCCAACTGTCAAGGAAGCTCATGTTCAAGAATATCCTCCAATCATGGAAGCTGAAAGGGTTTTGGAAGACAACTCTCCATTTGAGGCCAAGCGCCCATCCACTTCCACTGTCTCACTCTCTGAGTGGACTGGCCCAACAAGTCGGAACTGGTTTTTCTCCAGGCCCAAAAACATGTTTTTACGCTGTTGGCAACAGACAAATCGCGGCCCTGGCGAATCTGATCGCTGAGCCGCGTCCTTCTCCTGCAACTTGCCAAGAGCCACCTGAGCCAAGGACTGACCCGAAACAACTCGTGAAAGCACGCATTTCTGGCGGAGTCCCTTGTAAGCTTACATGGAACAAAGAAAGCATGCGTGGAGCAAAACCCGGAACCCAGAAAAAGCCATCTGGAGGGAACTGCTCTTGGAGCCCCCCTTCGTCAAACCCTAGGCTTGGGCTTGCAAACATATCTTTTCTTGCAGACCCCTACTCAAATTGTGAAAACCAACAAACCCAAAAAAGTCGACTTTTGGTTCGGACAAAATGGCCATGGGCTTGCAAAAACAACTCTGGGTCTTGCAGACCCCTACGAAAAATGAACAGAGCCAAAACAAGAAACACATGCCAACAACAGCGAAGATGGCTGCAAAGCGTTCTATGCACCTTGTCGATGGCTTTCGCCAGGTCGAACCAACACGCTACAGCTGTTGAGCACCCATCCAAAAGCAGGGTCCACCAAGTGAGCGAAGGCTCCTTGGAAGCAACGTCCGGATGATTTCGCTTTTCTTAAAAGACGTCACCTACCAGCACCCCTCCCTCCGCCCCCACTAGCGCTGTTTGGACAGTTAGGATCTTGGGCATGGGAAAAAGCTGTTGTTGGGGGGTGCTGGAGATTGAAGTCGTCGTCGGTCAAAAAGAAAAAACGTTCCAGCCCAGCTTGCGACCTGCAATTTGATACGGGGCCAAATCGTGAAATGAGAGAATGACAGACAGTCAACTAAGCGGAAAATCTTCAGGTGGCTCCCGTCTCCTTTGAAAAAAGTGTTTTTCTCCAGCCCTTGTGTCCCAACTTGCAACCGCTTTTTCAACCATGCAACCAAAATCCCAAACTGTCCAACCGGCAGTGGTTTTCCGCTTTGGGACCGAAGCGGGTGCCGCCTCTTTAGTGTTCGATCCCCCAAAAACCGGCGCCTTTATGAAGGGGACGACTCGTCCGGGCGCGTTCCCTCCACCTTCACTTGGCTGTGGGTCAAAAATATACCCAAAATGGACCCCTGGTAAGTGGAAACATGGACCAAAACCTGCAGGCCCCTGGTGGTTTAATTAAAATTAAACGACCAGGGGACCGCAGGTTTCACTTGCTTCAATTTACCAGGGTTCCATGTTGGGTACCTATTTTTGACCCACACCCACTTTTCCCCGGGCGGCTTTGCCGAATTTTCCGGAGAGACGTCAACCACGCGGGCTGTCGCGAATAAATGAAAGCCGGCTAAACGATCAGAACCGAGCCAAGTGATTCCAGGGATCATTATTAACGTCGCAATTTGCTAGCCATTATAATGTTAACCCCGGATTAAGCAGAACCCCTGGTTGATTTTGATGGGGGGGTGTCCCCGTTTAGTGGTTGGATTCAGACCACTTTTGGAGGGGTCCCCACCCCCCTAATGGGACGAGTTCTACTTAGATCCTGGGTCAACATTAGCACCTGGCGAATCGAGAAAAAGAAGCCTGACTCCTCAAAGCCTGGTGACTGCCAGCCAGGTGAAAACACCTGTACATCCTGAACGTCGTCTTCTCTATGCAAGGCGAAATTTGCAACAGGAAATTGACCACCGTGCGAACCATATGCACAGAACTCTGCCATCTCAGAGTTCGAAGCCTCTGGCAAGCTCACTGATTTGCACTGTCCCTGAAGCGACCACAGGGGTGGCATTTGTTCATGTTGCTCCCTTGCAACTTGAAAGAACAAGAAATACCCGCTTTCAATGAAATTCCCCCCCCCCCCCCAAACAAGAACAACAAATATCCCCAGAATCTTGGGCTCCTTCTTTTTCTTTGGGGGGGGAAAATCCTTTTCCATCGCGTCCAGCCCGTTTGGGCCGATTTTCTCCCCCCGCGCCTTCCCGATTCCCCCGGTCCGCGGTCCGAGTTCCGACTTGCGACTTCGCTCCGTCCGGCACCGGACGGCGCCTGCGTCAGCTTGGCCCGGGCGGCCTGCTGCAGCTCCTCCCAGCACTGCTCCTCCGGCGAAACGAAAGGCGAGCGCCCGCCCGTTTTGAGGGCTGGTGGAGCTCCTTGGGTCTGTCGAGCGTCTCCCTTTCTTGGGGTCGGTGGCAAAATCTGCTCCCCTCAAAGTTCGTAACCTTTGGAGGTTTCATACGGAAAACCCAGTGGGCAAAAAGTTGAAGTCCGAACATGTCCTAACATCCACGCAAAATGCACCAAAGTTTTTAGGGGTGCTCTTGGGGGGTATGACTTGGGGTCGGTTGGGTGTGCTTGTGTTGTGGATTGATTCATTGCCTTGTTGGATTGATTTACGGAAGAATGACTGATTTGGGCACTTTTGGTTCAACACAGTTTGAAGATGTGTTCGCTGTTCAAGTTTGTATCCTTGGGGTGTCCCTTAGACTGCGTTCAGCTTGCCAACCTTTTCGTTGAGCTTCGCTTTTCTCCGGAACCGGATGGAGCTTCGGCACATTTCGCATCGCCAGTGTTTCCCTTCGGAGCCGCTTCGCTCCGGGCACTTCCGCCGTCTTTTGGAAGATCCGAGAAATAGCTGTGGGTCAAAACCCTGTACCCCTGGTGAACATCAAAATAGGTGGTACATGGGTGTTCATCCGCCCCAAAATGGAGGCATAGGCTATGACCCATAGCCAAATTGCAACAGTGCCATGCCAGGCGGGTTCATCCCCCATTCTTTGCAACAACTTCCTTTCAACCCATCGCTGTTCCCGTCATTTTGGCTGTCAACAAAAAGGGTACCCAAAATGGAACCCTGGTAAATGGAACCCCTGTGGTCCCCTGGTGGTTGAATTTTGACCCACGCCCATTTAAGATTTGAACAGAGCTCCCTGAAAAGAGCTTCCCTTTAAAAGGGGAAGCTGGACCAACCATTCCTTTCAACCACGGGCTTTCTAAGACTTGCTGGTGCGATAGGTACGGAATGAGAAATAGAATGAACGAGGGGTCCCCGAAAAAAGGAAACCATCAGCTCGATGGTTTACGGGGGTCAGACTCCATGTCTCATTCCCTGCCTATCGCACCAGCAAGAAGATCTCCGGAGATTCGGAGCGGGCAATGGTTGGTTCAGCTTCTAAACTTCCCTTCCTGGGGTGACGATTTTAATGCGAAAAAGCTTCCTGTGTCTTTTGATGCTAGTTCAAGGGGGTGGATTGTTCAGGGGAACAAAAGGAAAACCACCAATCTTACTTTCCAACCGTTCGTACGGGCTTGCATTTGCAGCCTATAAAAATGACCAGAACCCCAACACAGCAAAGAACCTTGAACAAAACCAAAAAAAACAGCATGTTAACAAAAAGCGACATGATCCATCAAGCAACCGGTGCAGCTAAAAGAGGCGCAGACCCAACCCCCCGCCCGCCTCAGCCTCTCGGCAGATCTCCGAGAGCAACGGAAGGTCCTCGGCCTCGCAGGCCCGCGCCACCTGGCCCCAGACGCCGGCGCTTCGGCGGAGAAAAAAAACGGGAGCTTCGCCGTGCGCCGTCCGCCCTGGATGCGCGTGTTCGTGCTTCTTTTTTTGGGAGGGTCGCCGAGTTTGGAGGTTGGGTCCGCGCGTTCTTTGGAGTTCCCGTTTCTTCTACAGGAAAACAAAACGTGTTTGTTTTTCCTTTTTCTGAGAGCCGTTGTTGGATGCTTTCTTTTGGAGGGTCGCCGAGTTTGGAGGTTTAAAGACTCGGTCTTGGATGGCAAAGGCACAACACATGCCGAAGCCCAGGGGTCCGTAGCTGCCAGAAGGCCCATGGTGGAACCTGTCTGTTTTGAGGCGCCTGTTTTGGGGGATTGTGTGGTCAAACCGATTTGGTTTGCAAACTGTTGGTCAGTTTGCCAAACAGCTTGTAATTGGTCAGTAACCTAAATGGAAACTTCCAGGTTTCCCTTCGTGGTAATTCCCTTGACGCGTGGTGGCTTTACAATTATTGTTTCTTTACAAACGGTTCCCAGCAAGCTTCAACTGAGTATGTGCCGGAAAAGGGATTTGTTAGGAAACACTAGCCAAAACACAAACACTTCTGTTACAGAACGCAGCAATGGATGTTCGAAACTAGCCATTTAAACCCCCCAAATGGATTTCGGTCCTTCTGGTTGCAACCTAAAAACCGACCGAGACAAGGGGTTCCGTTTTGTGTCAATTTTGCTCCGTTAGCCGTTTTCTCCGTTTTCCCGTTTCCTCCGTTGCCCCGTTTTCTCCGTTGGGTGCCAACTTGGCTTCTCCGTCGCCTGCGTTTGTTTCGGGTCCATCATCCCGCTAAGACGTGAACCCCCCCGCCTGCTGATGGCCCATGGCTTCCGCCTCCTGACGACCGAAACGCCGAGGCCGACCGAGGCCCAAAAAGGACCGGGTAGGATGTGTCTTGAAGTTCCAATTGGGGTACCCGAGAACAAGAACAACCCTGTTGGTAAACGCCCAGGTCAAAAGCAAACGAAAGCCGCGGCTCCTTCCACGAAAAGAAACTTCCACTCCAAATTGCCCGAACGAAATGGTGGCTTGTTCTTTGAGAATGTGCAACCACTTTCAAGGACCCCCCCCCCCCCCGCCTTTTCTGGTTGCCTCCAGAGCAGGACCCTGTCTGAAACTCCAGGGTTCGCTCCCTTGAAACATCACCCTAACGGAAATGTTCTTTAAGCTTGCCCGGGTGATGCTTAAGCCACCCAAAGAGGGATATGTCTCTACACATATGTGTATGTGTATATATATATATATTGTCGTTTTTGATTTGTGATTTACCTACATATGTATACTACATACATATGTATATATATATATATACATATTCTGCATATTAGATTAAAACCACCCAAAGGGCACCCCCAGTCTTCGTCCCAGGAATTGGCTGGGTTTGGCCGGCGGCGAGCTGCGAACCTCGCCTGCGCCACCTCGTCCAGCCCGGCGTCCTTGGCGACACGGAAGACTGCTGCGGTCACGGCGGCCGTAGTGAGGTCCTGCCCAAAGGCTCCCGATCAATATAGGGCCCTCGAAGGGTGTTGAAAGAAACCCCACACAAAAACCATAGATACTGGGAGGTCCACCTCCATTTTGATGCCACCCATAGGCTCCCGCTGCTTTTTGCTTTTTGGGGCCATGGGTCAAAACCCAAATCGTACCCCCAGTGAACTCCCAATCCCCACTAAAATAGAGACTAAAAAAATGGGTGGTGCACCTATCCCAAAATGGGATCCCGTTGGTTTTGAACCATGGCCATATAGGGCCCTCAAACAGCCTGGTTCTGAGACAGGGTCCCAAACACCTCAGCGGGGTGTCTAATGGAGAGGTCGGGTCTTCCACTGAAAGCCAAAGCCAGGGAGCCTCTGGGCGAGCCAAATGAAGGCGTTTGGTGCGAAATGGATTTCGTCCATCAGTATCAGTTCAGCAAAAACTAAAACAAACCTTCCATTTGGCTAAGACCCCTGGAGAAAAACAAACAAAAACTAGACCACGGTTGGCCCGAAAGCATCACAGCCCTGGGAGGAAAAATTAAGCAAATACTTCGATCAAAACTTTCGGGGGCGCTGCGAAGCAGCCCTGGCTGCCATGTCCGGAGGTGGCACTCAAGGAGCTCTGCTGCGAGTGTGCAATAGGAGGGCCGGGTTTCGGGCTGCCCAGTCTCTTCAGGGATGCTTGCTGGAGAACCTCAAGCAAGCCAGCGAAAACGACCGGGCAGAGGGGTGCCTGTCATGTCCATTCTGTTCAGGGATCCTTCTTTCTGGAAAGCAGCTGCCCCATTCTCTTTCAGGGATCCTTAGAGATTTTTGAAAAGAATGGTTGAAAAGGAATGGTGGGAGTCGACCCCTAGAACCATACCTCACGCTGGCCCAAAGCACGCACCCAGAAAAATGGGACCCAACGAAGACGACTCGCCGGGCCCCAAAACTCAACAATAAAGCCTGGCTTTGTTGGGCCCTTGCCAAAAACTGGGAACCAAACCAGGGACGACCGGAAGGCCAAAAGGTCTGCTTTTGCAATGGGCAAGTGAGATGGTTGAAATCACCAGGCTGTTGACCAAAAGTGGTTGAAGCAAAGGGCTGGCCCAACCAGGGCTTTGACAATGTAAGTGATTGAAACACCGGACTCTTTTGAACAACCTCCTTTGGGTTGAGCGACTCTTGTTTAAAACATGGTTTAAACAAAGGACGGGCCCAACCCCAGTTTCAGCGACGAGTGTTTAACCGAACAGGACAAAATGAGTTGAGCCTTATACAAAGTGCACATACGCTCCGTACCTCCCCCCCCAAAAAACATAGAAAGAAAGAGAAAAAACGACAAACAAACAAAACAACACTGATGTTTCAAGGGCATCTCAGCACACCCAGCTCTAAAACTTTTCGTTTTCCTTTCAAACCGCCCCCCATATGTTGAACTGCCAAATCGTACGTAAAGCTCAAAAGGAAACAAACACGCCGAATTGGCCCGAATCGCTGTTGACACATACCCAAGCCAAAGTCAAGCTCATCCAAGAGGGCACCCCATAATTTTCCCCCCACCAAGAGGAAACTCAGCTCTTAAAAAGGCATATGTGTCAAACTAGGATATGGGTCTTCCTTTTTTGAGGGTACCTTTTTTTGGTGGTTTTAGAAGCAAGCCAAAAGGAAACAAACGCCCATGTTGTGGGTCCAAATCCTACAACAAAACGCACTCATGTGTCAAATTAGCATATGGAGCCCTTTTTTCGGTGTGGCTTTAACCTCATCAGGGACCCGTCGACCCGTCCCTCACCCCACACGCGTGTCCTCAAGCTCCATCCGCACGACGCCTGCGGCCAACATGGCTACCGCTAGCGGAAGTTGGCCGGGCCGATTTTCGCCAGACATCCTCAAAATGACCCGAGCAAAATGAGGTGTTGATATTTTTTTGCCGGCGGAAACAGATTATATATGCTCTCATTTTTTTTTATCTTGGAGGTTCTGAAATCCCAAAAATGAGGACATGTTACACTGAAAAATGAATGAAATCCCAAAATCTCATTTTACACTGTCCAAGGAAAACAGTCCCGAAATCCCAAATGTGTTATCACGGGAAACCTGGGGCCCGCGTGCCCTCTCACGAGAAACCCGGGAGGCGCGGCAACGGGGTGTAAAGCGTTGCTTGACATCTGGCACCATGCATCCTTTCATTGGGGAAAAAACGCAGAAAAAGCAGCAGAAACTGGGTCTTGACTGTCCGAGAAGCCAAATGTCAAGCATAACCCTTGTTCGGCTTCAAGATAACCCGAAAATTTCAAAAAATATGCGGGCGCGAGGGATTCGCCACCAGGGTTGGCAAAATTGGTCCGAACAAAGGATCAGCTTTGTCCTACAAAGGGAA